AGGAGATCGGGCTGAAACTATAGCTACAAGCTATCCAAGGATGGTACTATAGAATGTCACCTCAAGGTAGGCCTAGTGGCGTCATCTCTTGGTTAGGCCGGAAACTTATCAATCCACCCTCGTACATTGGTAGAAATGGGGTAGGATTCATGCGAGCATCCTGATTCTTAGCATTTTCTCTAAACGAATACTAATTTGATTAACGGTCCTTAATTGGAATAAAAAGGGGCCCGACCCGTCCAACCATTTGACTCCATTTGAACTTCTCCTTTCGTTTCAGGCCCGACGCGCTAGTTTAATTTGCGGCCAGGCTTGCCAAGGAAATTGTGAATGAATTGAGAGTGGAAAGACGGATAGGTCAACGTCTTCGTCAAAGAGAAATTAACGAAAAAAAAAATGTAACAATGTAATAATTATAGGTATCCAAACTTAAACTTCGCAGTAACTTATAATTAAGGTGACCCTTTATACGTCTTTTGATAGGACAGTAGGTACTTTCTTTTCCAAACACTCGAAATTTCGACTTGCAACTCTAAATTTCAAATTGCAACCCCAAATTTCGACTTGCAACTCCAAATTTCGATTTGCAACTCGAAATTTCGACTTGCAACTCCAAATTTCAACTTGCAGCCTCAAATTTCGACTTGCAACTCCAAATTTCGACTTGCAACTCGAAATTTCCACTTGTTTACTGGATTGCCCATCAGTACAAGAACATAGGCCCTTTCACGACGGGAATCCATGGTAGAATTATAATTTGGGCTGAAGAAAGTAGTATCGTACTTGTCAACGAAACGTCTAGGAGTCTAGACCTAATAACTCATTTAGACCAGCCAAAATCATAGTTCTACACATTGGTGTTGTGACGATTGTTATCTGCGATTCTATTGTCCTAGGTTTGGTTAGGATTGGGTTACATTACGTTTGGTTCAAATAAACAAAAGAAAGTACACGACCACGGCAATATTCACTTCGCTCATGTTGTCTTTACCTACCCTAAAGTTATAATCTTAACTTAATGATTTGATTTTCTGGTTTATGATGTTGCTCTTTCTTAAAATTGCCTTGGGTTAGGTTGGGATTCAGTTAGATCAAGTTTGGTTGCGATTCAGTAAATATTTGGAGTTAAAAGTTGCAACCACAATTCTGAATTGCAAGTCGAAAATTTCGAGTTAGAGGTCGAAATTTAAAAAAAAAATAAATATGTATCCTAAGAAAATCCTGCATCCTATGTATAATAATTCTATTTGAAACAGAATTTTTAAATTAAAAGTAGGCACAAATAAATCTAAATTAAAACGAATCCTTTGATGGTTAATAGGACATTTAAAAATAGGTAGGTATAGGTACGTTGCTACAAATGAGGACCACATACATGCACGCACATAAATTCCTATCGGTAAGGAAGGCTCTTGGTTAATATTTCTAAGAACAATGAACAAAGAAGGTAAGAACAATGCAAGAATACAAAACAGGCAAAGTCTGAATGACCCCGCCAGAAGAAACATTTACCACTACTAGGAGTAGTATCTACTCAAGTGATATGTTTGCAAGAGGTTTTTCTCTTACGGAAGCCCTGGAGGTCTTTAGAATTTCAATTATACACTATATGAACGTTTCCACTTATTATTCCCATCTATTCAAAGAACATAAATTATTAAAATTCACATATTCAATTGCCTCTATAACTATTGTAATACTGTATTTCTATAACACCCTTTAATGTGTTAGGCACTCGTAACGGACTTGCTTAAATAAATTCGTAAGTTAGATATAACCTACCAAAAGCTTTCAATGAATAATCTTTCGTTTTTTTTTACAGCGGAATTCTAATATCATTTGTTTTGTCTAGATGAATTTAAATAATACGCCACATCTTTTTACGTCCTAAGGCAGCCAAGAACTTGACCTTCACTGGACTTTTAAAAATCTCACACGTTTTAGGTTCAAACTGCTGGAGCATTTACTCTTGCGCGTAACATCATCTTCAAATTCAAAACTATTTCATACATCCAAACTTCTAAACTTTCCTTTCAGCACACTCAAAATACTAACGCTTTTGTTAAAGTGCCGCTTTGGTTTAGATAAAACAGAAACAACGACACCTTTGCAAATAGAAACGTCACCGAATTCCAGGAATGTTTATTAACTTACCTGTCTTTTATCCGAGAGGTAAGAATAATATAAGCATACATAGAACAATAACAGAGGAACTTTGCCGTTTATTAACTGTTCAAGAGGCACTTTGTATCACTATTCAGACAATAACACAAATTTACATGTTGGGTTCACTAAATTAGTTATAAAAACACGAAATAATTGCGAAGAAAACACGTTACAACTGACGCGCACAGCACAAGGTGTGTCAACACGTCCAACTAGTCTTCTCAAAACTCACAACACACATTCAAGGTAGTTATATGCCATGTTGCCACTTATTCTGGCATAAAAGTATTGCAGAAACCAAGTTAAATACAACGACGATTGTGATCCTTTCATTTTTTTCCCTGTAATACTTTTAACTGTTAACGAACAATGAATTGATTCAACACAATATACTTTTAAGGTAATTTCATAAAAATCATCTTGTAAAACAGCATATTTTCAAAATTCACAGTGAATCAAAAACAAAAATTACGAAAAAAAAAAGATTGAAAAATATTGCAAAGCCTGGAAATGTCCTGTATAAAAGTGAAATGAAATGTCCTGTATAAAAGTGAAAAATATTGCACATCCTAGTCTCACCTATTTCTTTTCCTATCACTAACTAACACTGATTATAATAGATGTTGATCTGCTTATTCAAAATAAGACAATGATTACTTCGCTATTTCTACAAATACTAATGTACAAATGGAAAAAATTAGTGCAAAAGGCACATTAAATATTTAGAAAAAAAATTTAATTCATTTTGTTTTTCTTGTAAATTCTTTATTGATAAATTATCTAATAATATTGGCAACCATGCAAAGAAGTTTTATGACCTGCGCATTTAATCTTTATTTGGAGATGATTTTCTTTCCCATTTGCTAATCAGTTGTTGATAGTTATTAATGGTTAGTAGTTAATTTATTGCTATAGCATGTTTCTTTTAATAACACTACAATTATACTTTTAAAGTTACATTCCTGTTGGCTAGGATTTTTGAAATGCTAAACTGACCCAAAGGATTCAAGTGATGCAGACAAGAATAATTTGGCGGTAGTATTACCGTTTATCATTGAATTGGACATTAATATGGATTTATAAATATAAATGATGGATACTGCAAGTATTTACAAAGGTATAGGTGAAGTTGATCTAGGAGAGGAAACTATTCGGGTAAATGTCGTGGACATTACTTTGGGTTCTTTAACTTAACCTATAAATTCAGTTACAGGAAGAAAACAATAAATTATTAGAACATATAAGAAAATTAGAAGACGATGTGGAGAGGCTTTGTCAAGAAATACTTAAAATGAAAAAGGATAAAGATGCCCTGTCTAAAAATATTTCTGAATTATTTAATACTGCAAAGAGAGAAATTGACAGAAAAAATGAAACTATTAATCAACTCAGAGAACAACTAGATGACATTTATTTTAGAAGGAACAGAGCTCCTTATAATGGTTCGTCGGAAATTAGACGTGAATTTAACAAAAACATCGGCATTAACGAAGCAAAATATGAAACACATGTAGACAAAAGAAGTGATTCAAAATCACCTCACCATTCTCAGAAAGAAAAGACTAAATCAAAAACACCTGTAAGACAAAGAAGCAGATCATCTTCTTCTTCTAAAAATTGTCATAACATGAAGCACAGTAAAAGAGACTACTATAAGATAAGGTCCCCAAAGAGACGTCGAAGTAGATCAAGATCTCAACATAGGTTTAAAAGAAGAAGAAGTCCATCTCCTGGTAATCATCGTGAAAGTGGGCAAAGAAGAAGTCCTTTTCAACGACGCAGAAGTAGGTCAAGGGAGTACCATTCAAGGAGATACAAGAGAGAAGAACACCATTCACTGAATTCCATATACAGGAAAAAAAAACAAAATATAAAAAATTCTAATTGTAGAACTGGTAGTAGCGAAGTACATCAAGAAATAATTCATAATCATTTGATAAAAGACACAGAAATAAATAGTTCTAAAAACAAGCACTACCTTGTTCAGGAATTTGAAAAGTTGTATAATGAAGACAATGACACAGAAACTGATCCTTCTCTATTAACTGACAAGGCACTTTCAAAGTGTGCTCCACATGATCAAAATAGAAATGATGTTGATGACAAGGCACATTCAGTATTGGCAGAAATATATAAGAAGAGTGAATCTTTGATTTCTGATGGAAATTTTGAAGTAGTAGAAAACACATTCAAAACTTTGAAAAAAGACTGTGACAGTGACAAGAACTGTTTAGAAACTCCTCAGATTATTAGAGGAATAATTACTGAAGACTCTGTATTAGTAAAGGTAAAAGACACCGGCTCCAATGACACTAATACATCTGAATGTAACATGCAAAATGGTAATAGTTCCAATGTAGAAATTTTAAAAAATACAGAAAATAAAGATTGTAACACTTCCATAACAGCATTACAAGCAACTCAACAAAATGTAGGTCGAAAGAGAAGAAGATGTGTCTTAAAGATTAAAGAATAAACTTTATTTTAAACTCTAAGTTTTGTTTCTGTTTCAGGTCTAAACCTATATTATTATTGTTAGATTAATTAAAATATGTTTAATGTCGACTCTTGTATATTATTACAATTATATGATTGTAAATTATAAAATTTTGTTTTAATTTGTAATTGTCTAAATATCGACTAATTTTTTATCTATTATAACAAAAAACACTGCATCAACCCGAAATTGATATCCGATTTCCCTCATTTTACAAAAAAAAGTTTTCAAGAAGCTCTGTATTCAAGTATTAATTATTATAATAATTAAAAAACTGTTTTTTCAAACTTACAATTAGTACATACAGCGCCATCTAGTCCGTTCAAATGTTATTTACTTTTAGACGAGTCGATACTTAGTGCGACATCTAAACATCCGTAAGTGTACTTATTACCGTATCTATTTACTGTAAGAAACCTGCTTGAGTTAGTTATTGTAGTTCATACAATAACGATTAGGTATCGCTAGTAAGTATATAATGAAAAATATTTTACAATTTAAAAAGGAAGATAGGGAAAACAAAAAATACATTTAACTACTTTGCGTTTACAAACGTGCGTAGAAGTGTTGACAATCACACGAGAAACAGCTTATTTATAACTTTATAATGAAATGCTTGCATTAGCGTAAATCATGAATCATTTCGCGAATTGTGCCAAAAAATGGGTTCTATTAAACGCTGCGGCTATTTTGGTACTCGTTTCAATAAGACAATTTGGTCAGTGGGACAACCACCTGAAGCGCCAGAAACAGAAAGAAGTGAAGGTGAAGCCATTTTGATGATGATAAATATGGATAAAACAGTACAAAAGTATTAAACAAAATAAGAGTCATAATCATAAGGTCGTCAGCCCTAAGACTGGTTGGACACGCACCTCCACTCTTTCCTATCTTGAGCTAATCTTCCTATTTACTCAAAACTGGAACATCCCGCATCCTTAACCATTTGCGAACATTAATCTAATCTAGGTCTACCTCTACTCCTCCTTCATGCCTGAGAAGGTGTCCTACCAACCTATCTCGTCTATGTCTTATTGATTTCCAAAGAATCTTCTGTTCTCCCATTCTTTCTAATACCTCTCCGTTTCTAAACTTCTCTATCCACGGTACCTTCATCATTCGCTACACCACATTTCGAACGCTTCTAACCCTTCCTTTTCCGCCGCGCCCATCGTCCATGTTTCGCATCCGTACAACGCCCTGTTCCACACAAAAAATTTCGACAATCCTCTTTGAATTTCTAAATTAACCGTTTGCGAGTATAGAAGTGACTTCCTTTTATTGGCGACTCGACCCTGCGCTATCCCCTGCTTTATATAGCTACTACTCCTTCCGTCCTAGCTTATATGACTTCTTAGATACCGAAAATCAGTCACTTTTAATTTTTCGTCTCCTATCTTTATATTCTCTCTTTTCCTGCTTTTGCTTCCCTTGTATACCAGTATTTTCGTTTTATTTTTATTTATTTTCATACAATACTGTGTTGTCAGAATATAAGAATAAACAAAAGAAATTAAAAAAATTAGCTAGAATAGAAAAATCTAAACACCCTGTATGAGACAGAGGATAGTTCTAGGCATGGCAACGACGCGGCTCGCAACCCGTTTCTATCGATTAATATACCCCGATGCGTCGCAGGTCGTCGCGACGTCGAGCGTCGCGTCGTAGCGCATCTTGCATTAACTGCGTCCACACCGGTAGACACGTACATGATGTAACCTACAGGACCCATCCCGTGTCGTGTGGAACGAAATGTGATGCAAAATGATCGGTGTCCGTTCGAATTTTTGCGCCGCCGACAAAACGGACTTTTGACGATCGCACGGTAGTTTTCTGCGAAAATAAGTTCAACAATTACGAGTGTCGAGCGTGTGTTTGTGTCGATGGTACGCGCGCGTTGACGATCAAGGGGCAAAAGGGAGGAAAGATGGGCTCGATAGTGCTTAAGTCGCTATCAGTGCTCTTGGGACTCTTCTTCATCTTCGTCGGTTTTATGAAACTGTCCAGTTCAATCTCTAAGGACCTCCATAAAGACCTGGTAAGAGACCGTTACACAACTCAAACGGATATTTTTGGGTTGGCTCCATGCCTATTAAGAGCAACGGTCACTTTAACCATGCCAGTGGTTGTGAGTCAATTTTTTTTTTGGAAAGAAAATGATAAACCGAAAACATCAAAAGATAAAGAAAAACAAGATACTTATTCCGACACCCGGTATATGGAAATTCAACTGGAAAATTTAATGCAGGAAAAAAGTTGCAGTCTATTAACTATAACGATATTTGATAGAAGTAATTGAAAACCCATTCAAGGACGAGTTAGAGGAATTTTAAGATACCCCTCGTGCAGGACTAAACGCTTCAGGTGCATCGTTCAAAAATAATTAAAATAACGAATAAAACAATTCCTTTTTTGATGTCATGAGACAGGAAGAAAGTTGAATTCATAAATATTGATTTAAACTTGGTCAATAAACGTTAATTTTAGTAAATTTTCCGGTGAATAATGAGCTTATTGTCCTTGTAGAATGTAGAGAAATTGTGGCAAATCGTTTTCAACTGATACTTTTCACTTTTAATAATTATTAGTAAAAATTTTAGTTAAAACGCGATTTCTCTAGCAATAGGAATATCAGTTTTAACAATCCTACCTAGACAATTAAATAATTTTGACTTTACATTATCTAATAATCGTAGTCAAAACTAACGTACTTCATTAAATCAGCGTTTACTGAAGAACTATATAGGGACAACGACGATCGATTAATATTAATTACATAATTAGACAGAACTAAACAAATATAAACTATCTTCATAAATTTGGCGAAGGTGCTCGGTTTATCAGAGCAATACTTCAATTTTCAACTGTTTTTTTTTTAAAGATTTGGAAATTTTGGTTTCATCATTAGGTCTATAAAAGACCATAATTAGTTGGCTACATGTATGTATGTTTGGTTTTTAATTATCACGTTCAGGAAATGTATTTCTAACGTTTTTCACATCAATCTGATGAAAGAGACAATTAAACAAGATTCGAATTAACTCTACCTAAGTGCGGCATTTGAAAAAATACTTGGCTCTACAAGTACAAATGAGTATACATGAAAACAGCAGTTGCCATAAACAAACGAAAGTGCCAAGTGTAGTTTTAAACAAATTAATTATTTCCAATTTTGTACAGAGTATGATCAATATTTAAAAGTTGTCACAAATTTTTAAATATTTACAGGGATGTAAGCGAAACAAGAATTAACGGATTATATAATAATAATATAATACGTACATACCTACAAATTAGCAAAAATATCAGTATGTTTCAGAATTTGAAAAATATATTTACTGAAACAAAAATATATTTATGAAAGTCCAAAATTGTTCTTCAATGTTTCATAAATCATATAGAGTTAGGGTTTTGTTTAAATGGCTTATATATAAGTAATTAATGATAAAAATAAAAATGTTCTTTTTTAATGTATACGTTATAGAGAATATATGTATCAACTAATGACTGAAAACCTTCATTACTTTTGTCTGCGATTATATCTGAAAGACACTCTTACAACCACGATTACTATACTTTTGTTTTTTTATTTTCGTAACAGAAACCGTGCCAAGATCAGAAACTTTGTAATGTATGCAAGTATCTATCTATAATAGTATAAAATGTCACCTCAAGGTAGGCCTAGTGGCGTCATCTCTTGGTTAGGCCGGAAACTTATCAATCCACCCTCGTACTTTTGTTTTTTTATTTTCGTAACAGAAACCGTGCCAAGATCAGAAACTTTGTAATGTATGCAAGTATCTATCTATAATAGTATAAGTATATATTTTTATACTTTACTACGTTCGCATAAATTCAATCACAAACACGATGTCACCGATAAATTCACGAAACCAACATCTGTATACCTATATGTACACTTGGCAAAAATTCAATTCAGCATGTTGTAATCACAAAACGATTTGCTTTCTTTTAATATCGCTGTAAATTAATTAACATTTTATGAATGCATTGTTATATGCAAAGGGCAAACAATTCCTCATTTGCCTTTTTGGCACCCGTTATAATTTGAAAAAAGGATATGACACTGATGCCAAATCTGTTTCTTTAGCGTAAAAGATCAGAGACAAAATAGGGTTACACATGATTTTGATTTTGATGTAAAACCAACATCAATCTTTATCTTTTACACATTGGAACAAGGTGAAGAAATGGAATCCGTGATTTTTTTAGCTTTAATAAAGTTTTTGAAGTCGTCTTTTCTATCTATCAGCACACCACAATATCTCGCGATTTCCACGCTTTCACGTCTGTATAACAATTCAAATAACCGAGTTCGACACTACTTATTTTGTATATATCTCTTGAGATAATTTTACCGAAACTTCAATAAATTCAAACATAGTTTTCCATATTAAAAATGTTTTTCCATATTTCAGATCGTTTGAATTAAATTGTTATTTATGACTTTGTTTATTTTCTTTCAGAGAAGAGAATATGTAAAATACGCTAAAGTTTTTCCGTTCTCTGACACCTTCGATTTTAAAATCCCAAGTAAATGGTATCGACGGACGGTGGGCACATTAGAAATTATTTCAGGAATAGCCATGGCTTTTATTCCAAATCGTAAGTATCAAATAATTTATAACTTGCACATGCAAGGTCCATGTTTAGGCCGATGATCAAAATTTTAAGGAATGAGGACTATAAAGCGTAAAAAATAGTAGCTTAGCTTAGTTCTAAGGACGCCCCTGATGATGATGTTTTGAACGAACGATGTCCGTTCCCTAGTTTGTTTTTTTTTATCTTTAATGCACGAATCACGCTATTTAAATAGCTCTATTAAGTAACTAGACAGTATGAATTTCTTAATGTGATTTTAAAAACAAGGTAGGCGCTGTTCGTAAAACATTTAGAAAAAAAAAAAGGCGCTAAACATATGTATGTATTTATCATGTTTATTTATTTATCCCACTAACAGATGTTTTTGCAGTCCGATTTAAATAGTTTTAAATTTAGTTGACATTGACACATACATGTTGTACTTTCTCAAATGTAGCGAGATATTTTTAACTTACGACAGTCACCATTTACAAAAATTTTACATACAATGTAAAGCTAAAACTTCGAATTTCATTTTTTCTGAAATAATAATTAATATTAAGACAAGATCACGAAAAACTTGATAACTTGTAATTAGTGTAGGGCAAGGCACTTTTATTATGTACGATCCTTATCAAAAATATAGCTGCCTTCTTTGGGCGCCACAAAAGGTTTACGACTTTTTTATAGATTTTTCCCTTAAAAAAATTGGGAGATGTCGACACCATCCAATAGCGAAGCAATAGGGTAAAATGTGAGAAATGAACAAGAAACCCGATTCGACTATTAGTTCAATTGTTTTCGAAATAATAATTTTTGATAAGTCGTTCTTTCGTAGGACCGCAAAAGTAGTAATAGTGAACCGAAAGAAGACTTTAATTCTTTGAGGGTCTCGATTTAAAAGGATTCATTTTTTCGCAGTCATCTAACTAAAACAAAATTCGATAACATTTTGTACAGAATTCAATTCTCAACGTGATTACATTTTTATGACCCTGTGGTACCCCTAGGACTCCCAGACAGAATTATTTATCGACTGTATTTTTGAATAATGTAACATCGACACTTGTGGAAAATTCTATCCCTATATGTTCTCTTTATTTTTGAATAAAATCTAATTATTATTAACTTTGTTGTATTTTGCACAATATACTTTAAGATAATGCAGTATGTATGAAGAAAATAATTGTTACCTGCATGTGAAGCATTATTATCGTATCTAAAAATAATTGATACATTAATCGTCTCAAAAAACCGTAAGGTCATAAAAAGTTTATCCAGTGTGATTAAAATGTTATCGTTAAATAATCATAATCGTAATAAATGTAGCGTTTGAAAAACGTAAAACACACCTTTATCTTTCTCATGCTAAAGTTCTAATCTTTACAAACCTATAAGAGAATTCAGTACGCTTCAATATGGAAAACTGCAGTGCAGCTGTTATAAAAATTTAGATATATATATTTTTTTACAGATAAAGTCAAAAATACGGGCAATTTTTGTCTACTCCTGTTGACACTGATGGCAGTATATTCCCATTACATGGTGGCAGACAAGTTAGAGAGAACTGCACCGGCGCTTGTGTTTCTCTTCATGCTTAGTGGTAGACTTGTCGTTTACTACCAATTAAGCAAAAAAGAAGCCGAACTAGCACAAGCGCAGGTCAACGGTTTTAAGCAAGAATAAACTGTTCGAAGTCATCGACTGATATACATTTGGGCCAAGGGTTCCTACGAAGATGATACCATGAACTCAAGCCACACATTTGGTTTTAATAGACACTTACAATTAGAAACGTATCATATTCCTTGTACTTACTAAACAATTGTTCTGCATATACATATATTAATTTTTATTTAATTTAAAATCATTATTTTTTTATGTTGTTCTTTATCTCTTTTGAACATGAGTTATTGGAAACCCCCCCTGACATTATTGGACATGTTTGACGTTAGAGCCCGTTCACTTAGAGAAAGGTACACGATGCCAGATCGATGAACGCGGACTGCTTTAATAAGCGCCAGAGGATTACAGGTGGACGACCGGGACCATTTTCTGGATATTCGTTTGTACGCGTCGCCCACGCTATACCTTTCTCTAAGTGAACAGACAATACACCTCAAACCATTGGCGCAAATTGGTTTAGCCAAACTTTTCCGTATCTACGCTAACGTTTTCTTTTTCTTAAATGAAGCACTTATTTATCGACGAGGTTACAGTATAAGTAACGCTCCGATTAATGCCGAGAACTTGCCTTAGTTACATCTTAGCAAGCGCTTTCCAAGTTTTTCAGACCATTTCCACATTAAAAATTCAAACATTCACTGCATCGCCTGTAGGATTTTCCACAGTTTGAGACGAACGGTGAAATTAAAAGATATTTTTGTTGCATATTGCTATTTGCTAAAGAGTATACAACAAATTTTAAAATACAGTATAAAAGCAGCGTGTCAATGATAACTTTTAAAGGCATTTAAAAGTATGATGTATGGCGAAAATAAAACACAAAAATTAAAGGAAATACAAATTAATTTCACCGTTAACATTAAAAAAAATTGATCATAACGTTATACATTAGTGTTGCCACTTTTCGAATAAAAAAATAATACTATTACGTAATTTTTGATTTTTAATTCATTTTGCTTTGATTTCGTTTTGTTAAAATAAGTATTTCAAATCACTCTCAGTAGAACAGCCGGAGTCTTCCCTAATACCATCTTCTAATCTAAATTCAATTACAATCCAACCCAACCAGGCTGACTGTAAATTATACTTTAATAGGTAATAAAATTAGGGGTAGGATGGCAACCATAGTATAGGCATACCGTGCATCTAATACATAACACACATACGATAAAGATAACAATTCAAATTAAAAATACCAAGTAATAAATAAATAAATTAATGTTTTTTAGTGATAAGAAACAAATAAAATTAATGCATGATAGTTGATATCACAATGATGTACATATTTATATAAGATTAGAGTTGATGATCTACTTTAACCGGTGTTATAGATTTTATACACTGTATTTGTTTCTACTAAAATTTGTTTTGTGAACGTAACGAAATACCTACCTACATATAAAGTGTTGCCAGAATTTAAGACGACTTATGTAAAAATAGGAAATAGGTAGATGAAATTGAAGATATTAGAAAGAAAAAAGATTGATAGGAAATTTAGATGTAAAATATTGGGTTAGTTACAGTTAAGTAGTAATCTGTGTATAAATATAAGATACTTGAAATTAGTTAAGATAAATTTGGATAAATTTATTTTAGCACTACTATGTGTAACCTTAAGAAGGAACTAAAGCGGTACTTAATTAATAATTTTAGAAATAATTTAATAAAGTTTAAACTAATTCTAAATTAGACACCATTTGTGAGGTAAACGTCAAACATGTCATCTACATCAAGTATTTAAAAACTTCTGTTAAGAATAAAATTTCACTTTTTCATTTGAAAAAAACACACTGTCGTTGTAGAGTACCTTATTGCTTAGAAACAATTCATGATGAAGATGCGCTGTGCATAAGTTATTTATTAATGTACGAATGTTATTAGGAAATAAAGAGTGATTTTTTGAGTACTGTTGCTTTTACCACATACCCTAAAGTTTAGAATGTGATAAAATTTGTTTAATTAAAAATTTTAGTAGTTTTTCTACTCACTTTCTGCATAAAACAAGTGGAATATACCAGAGCACAAGAGAAAATAAAAATATAAGAACTGTACCAGAATTGATTAAAGCAAAATTATATCTATTATTAAATTGCTTACGAATAGGGTAAAGTTAGTGTAATTTTCTAGTTCGTTTTATGCTGAACATTGCACACGTGAAACAAAATTTAGACAACTAAAAACATAGTGCAAAAAAATAAAAGTTAAATGTATAAAAATATTACTCACCATTTTTATTTTCCGTGCAATAGTATCTTGTAAATTACCTCAGGGAATATTCTGAAACCAAACATAAAAAATTTAAACGTATTGTAAACGAAAAGAAAGAAAAACATGAAGATTTCATAACAATTATTCATTTTAAGACTCTCCCCGGGTTTTTCAATTTCCCCACATCTTATGCTTTACATTATGATCATACAGCATAGGTAAATTTTTGAACTACACATTATCTCTCTTATTACAAGTTACAGAGATAGAAATATGATACTTGGTTTGTATAAAGAGCAGCAAGCAGTTATTGAGCTGGAGCAGCAACGTAGAGAAGTAGATATTAGGAAAGGAGTTAGACAAAGAAAGATGCACACTATCACCGCTACTTTTTAATCTATACATCGAAAACGCGATCAACATCATTAAAGACACTACAACTGTAGGGATTAAAGACACATAGGCAAAAGATTAGCATGATTAGATTTGCAAATGATATAGCAGTATTAGCAACTAGCTAGGAGAAGTTAGATATAGATTTACAGGCTAATAATTGAGGATACAGTAGATAGATAAGGTTAGAAATGAGGAGGTATTAGAAAGAATAGGATAACAGAGGACTCTATGGAAGTCAATAATAAATAGGCGAAATAGGTTGGTAGGACACCTTCTCTAGTACGAAGGTCTAGTCAGAGACATATTAGAGGCAGTAATAGGAGTTCGGAGGGGTAGAAATAGACCTAGATTAGATTACTGTTCGCAAATAATTAAGGATGTGGGTTGTTCTAGTTTTAGGGAAATGCGAAGATTAGCTCAGGATAGGAAAGAGTGTAGGTGCGTGTTCAACCAGTCTAAGGACCGACGACCGTATGATAATGATTTGTTTTTCCTTCCGGTATTTTTACCGCCTTGAACACTTGATTTCGTTTATTCAACTTTTTGAAACGAATGTTCATTCAATGCCCTTCGAAAATATGCAAAGCGTTTTGGTTTTTAGGGAAATGCGAAGATTACCTCAGGATAGAAAAGAGTGGAGGTACGTGTCCAACTAGTCTTAGGACTGACGACCTCATGATGGTGACTTTAATATCCCCAATCGAAAAAAAATGACATATCTCCGGTACTAATTTACCCCTTTTATCATCTCTTTCACCTTTCTATTCATCAATAAATGTTATAGTTTCTCGTTTTATTTCGTATGGGATAATAAGCTATACGGAAATAGTTATGTACGTATTCCACGTGTTGAAACCTTTTCAAACCACACTTTTTCGCATTAAAGCTGCCGTCTTGATCATATATATATATATATATATATATATAAGTGAACTAATATCTACATCTGCATTGATTGAAAAAATTATTACAAGTTATAATGATCTGTTCGAATATTCGTCGATGCATGACCGCATTATATCCTTCACGTGCAAACTACATCGACGGTTACAATAATCATTTAGGGAACGCTGTCGTGCAATAACCTCATGAAGATATACATCCAAACATTGTCATTAACTACCGAACTTATTCTCACTTAGATAACATCAACGGAACGCCTACCGTCAAAGGGAAATATATAAACATTATACTTGATTAATACCAAGGTAGATACCGAAAGTATGAAGACTAATGAAAATGCTGACGCATTGAAAATTGATGGATCTCCTTAACATGTCATAATTGGCAAGATTTTGTTGCATATGCCTATTGTATATAAGCATAAAAATTTGCAATGATCAACAAGGATAATATTATCTATTGATAGGAAGATGCTCCTATGATCCTTGAAGATCAATTACAATAATAATCAATACTTTGAAGCTTGCGTTATAAATAGATTCGAAATATCTTATAGTAAATATATCATCTACCACATAAAATAAAGTGTTTCTAGCTAAAGCCTCTAAAATGTGACCAAGCTTTTGGTTTTAACTGTTTATACACAAGATATTTATCTTCAGTCATTAAAAAATGACCCAACAGCTATTCGCTAGTATTAGGTATTTCTTATTATTCAGCACTCAACGCTCTGTATATTTTCTGTAATTAACTGATAAAATTAATCTAGACTAATGTTCATCTTTCTATAGTTAAGTGTGATTAAATCCTGATTAGAAATGCAGATATGTATACCTAATCAATGCATCAAAAAGGAACAAATTACTGTTTGCTGTAATTTGTACCTACTAATCAAGATCATCGACGTACTGATAGGAGATTGGTAGCTCAATTATATGATATATTGTAGTTACAATTAGTAACGGACAAACGATGAAAAACATAAATTAACATACGTTCTTGATGATAAGAAGTACCACGTTTCAAAGCGATCGGGTAATTTCAATGTTTGTGATTGTTTAGATTTAGATTGATTATATGAAAGCTGCCGTAAGTTGAAAAGTTACGCTTCAAGTATTATAGTTCCTGGAATTAAATCACCCAGGCAATTTAGTGACTCGGATTTGTTTTAAAAAAAATTAAACAAAATAAATAATGTAGTGTTAGGAAAATTGGTAAAGGCTTTTTGCGGTCTTGTGCTATCCTGATTAGGGTCTACAGGTCGTCATCGGATGGACTTACTTCCTAACGTTTCGCTAGTACGAGTGGCGAGTTTTTTTAAAGTCGCGCCCATCTTCGATGTTGGATATAGACTTAGATGGAAGGAACTCTGACGAGAATACCTCTGAAGAAGCAACAGTTCAAAGGGATACATGGATTTTCCTGAAAGTTTTGTGCGAAAAGGTATTGCAGCGAGCATTTCGCTAGTACGAGTGGTGAGCTTTTTCAAAGTTGCGTCCATCTCTGATGCTGGATATAGACTGAGATGGAAGGAAGTCTGACGAAAAGACATCTGAAGAAGCACCAGTTCAAAGAGATATATGGATTTTCCTGAAATTTTTGTGAGAAAAGGTATTGCAGCGAGCATTTCGCTAGTACGAGTGGCGAGATTTTTCAAAGATGCGTCCATTTCTGATGCTGGATATAGACTGAGATGGAAGGACCTCTGACGAAAATACCTCTGAAGAAGCACCAATTCAAAGAGATACATGGATTTTCCTGAAATTTTTGTGAGAAAAGGTATTGCAGCGAGCATTTCGCTAGTACTGTGTATACAACAGTGGGGAATTGAGAACCGAACATAGTAATAGAATATTTATTATACATCTTCTTTTAAATGATTTAATGTTTAAAGCTTATGTGAACGAGACTTAATATGGTTTGGGACGTTGGTGAATACTTTTTAATGGAAAGCCTGCCGATCAAAACGTGAACCATTAATCCTAGTGGTTTTTCCGGGTACCCTATTATCACTATCAAGTGCATTTCTAGTTGAAAGCATATATTCCACACGTTTTTACGACGTTAACGTTTCATGTTTCTTTTTAATTAATTATAAAATAACGGACTATGTTATCCATGCGAATTTTATTTCACAGAAAATAGTAACATTTTGTTTCCTTTTTGTTATTACGGTTTGTAGTAACAACACGTAGTAGCGCTACAAAGATACAAGCCAAGCATGGACTTGATGAAGTTCATCTCGTTATACCAGGAATTCTTAATTAAAATTTAAGAGAAAAAGGTGTCATGAGTTAAACCTAGTCTCGACCTGGTACAGTGGCAGTGTAATGTCTCAAACAACGGATGTGTCATGTTAATTACTAAAGACATACGTCGCGTTAAAAATTAAGAAATGTGTAATGCACTTTGAACATAAGCATTCAAAGATACAGTACTGTACAAAAAAATACACAGAACCAAAGGATTATAAATACATATAAATGCAGGGTGGCTCATATGTCTGCGTAAACAGGGAAGTTCCAAAACAAAAGGCATTCTTGGGTTCTAACTGAACTATCATATAATTCCTTGGCCCGGCACCGGCTCCAGGATCCGGATGGAGCCCTGTAATACCCAAATATTCGAAAAAAAATATATATTTGTGTGCAATCCGAGTAAAACCCAAATATCAAGAAAATTGTCAATCAATATCAAAAAAATGGTAATGGCAAAGTTATGAATGATTAAAAAATTCATTAATGCCCGAAAGTTATGGTCACAGAATCTATAGTTATAGATAATATTTCGTTTAATTTACTCTGTATATTTATAGATTCTTAAAGTTTTTCAAAATCGTAAATCTTCAAGTATGTACTAGAGATTCGATTTTTTTTGTGGCAACGCTCTTCATTCGTCTGTTTGTCTGTCAAAGATTTAATACTTTGCAAAGGACGTTGTTAAACATTAAATCACACAATTAGCGGCAAACCAACGAATTAGAAATATCGATCTACATATCTGACATTGACATGACAGATTGGAAGAAATTTTAGAAGAACAAATTTATTATACA